ATAATATTTTCGAGGTGACAGATAAGACAGCTGGTGGGAAGGTGGCTCTCTCAAACACAGTCAAACAATGCAAAAACACGTATGCTCTTTCTGGTTTAGGCAGAAGGATGCAAAAATACCCAGAATCACAGAGGAGTTGTTTGAGATATGCCCTGTTTTGTGGGGCCTCTCGTGAGGGCACCAATCCCTCTCTCTCAAAGCCATCACACTCTGTTATACAGCATCTTTACAAGTAGCCTACAACTTACAACCATTCGTTTATTCACCATTCTAAGTTACAACAGCACCGAAAAAAGTGACACGACCATTTTTCACACTTACGATCACTGCAGTATCCCGGTAGTCACATAATCAAAATCCAGAAGCTTGGCAACTGATTCATATTTATGATGTCTGCAGTATCCTGGGGCCATGTGATAACCTTTTGCAATCTTTTCACAAGCAAAGTCAAGATTCATTTAACAACCATGTTACTAATTTAACAACTGGAAGAATTCACTTAGCAACTATGGCAATGGAATAAGCACAATGGAGTAAAACTCACTTAACTGTCTTGTTTTGCAACAGAAATTGTGGTCATAAGTCAAGGACTAACTGTACTGACCACTAAATTACTAATGGTTTGGCTATGCATATTCCCTTCCCTATCTACAGTTTAATCAGCTAGTTTAAATGATTGATATTTGGGGGGATGGAGTGATAATTAACTTGTAGTATGGAACTGCCCAATGGAAAAATCATGCAGAAACTCCATTTTAATTATATCATAGAGTGGGACCTAATGGAATCAGTAGGGGTGACCTATTTCAAAATACAGGTAGTCCTCAACTTACAACAGTTCATTTATTTCAAAGTTACAATGGCATCGAAAAAGTGACCTATGACCATTTTTCACACTTAGGCCCATTGCAGCATCCCCATGGTAACATGATCAAAATTCAGATGCCTAGCAACTGGCTCACATTTGTAACAGTTCCAGTGTTCAGGAATCACCTTTTATGACCTTCTGACAAGCAAAGACAATGAGAAAGCCAGATTCACTTAACAACCATGTTACTAATTTAACAACTGCAGTGGTTCACTTAACACTCAAGGAAGGTTGAAAAATGGAGCAAAACTCACTTAACAAATGTCGTACTTAGCAACATAAATTTTGGGCTCAGTTGTAGTCTTAAGTCATGGACTACCTGTAGTAAGGGTAGATCAATGGCTGCACAACATATTCTCTGAGACTTCTTGGCAATTTCATTCTCCTATTATCTTCTGCATTATTGCTACAGTACTAAATTGCCAGTGAGAAATGCTGCTGCTTTGCTAGAGCCTTACAATAGTTTTCAAGACATACAGAGGATGTTTCACCTCCCAAGGTGATTTTGGGGAGGCATGTTCTACATGAGCAATCACTATTGTCTTTATTGCTTTTAAGCAACAGTGATTCATGCTGTACAACAGGAGAATTATTGCAAGTCCCAAACACTAGGGTGCCACCTTATGCCAACCTAAGGATTTTATTCTAGTCCACTATTGCAAAGACTGTTAAACGTACCTGATAGCAACAGCAGATTCTAGATGTTTTAAGTTTATCTAACCTCTGTAGATTTTGATTTATTATTTTAATAGAACCGGGTGCCAATCTAAAATATTGAGTGCATATTTAAAATCAGCAGCAGCCCAAAACAATCATATTTCTTCAACTGATGTGTTTGTTAGGGAGAAACCTTCAGCCAATATTTTAAGAATATTTCATTGAATGGGATATTTCCTGAAACTGAGATTCAGAACTCATACACACCCAGAGATTTCATTATATGGTTTAAATGGGAAATTTCTGATAAGTATAGCATCCAAGCAGGTAAATGCTTTCTACTGAAATGAATAGGGGTGTATTTCTAAAGGTGTATTGGAGCTAGCTGCTAAATCTGCTGCAATTAAAACTAGAAAATATAAGGAAAGTCTTCCAGGGAAGAAATAGTGGACTGAAGACAAAAGCCCATGAAAAGCAACGCTGGCAACTGCAGTGGAATGAAGAGCCATTGGACAGGAAGAGGGCTTGAGATCACCCTCCAGTTCTCCAGACAGTTGCTCCTTGTAAGTCTCCATCAGGTTTAATGCTCTGGGAGATGAGGGAATAGCCAACTTGCTCAAACTGCAATCTGTGCCTTTGAAATGACACTAGGTTCACATTTTCTAATCAATTCTGGAAATTGCTTGTTGATTGCTTTTCAGCTGTTAGGAATCTTGGGACTGACAAGAATTATAGTACAAAGTGAGTTTCCTTCAAATCTTAGAAAAAGTAATTTTAAATACAAACTTAAGGACTTAATAAACAGTAAAATAAACTATTTTCTAAAAGATTTTAGAAAGTCACAAACAGACTAAGATAAACTTGAAATAAGATTTGGAATTAATTATAAAAAATCCTTCTGGCGGAAATATATATCTATATCTATATCTATATCTATATATATATCTATATATATATATATCTATATATATATATATATATCTATATCTATATCTATATCTATATCTATATCTATATCTATATCTATATCTATATCTATATCTATATCTA